GTAATCCTGGGTGGGGCTGCCCATAGACCTTTTGTGACAGCCCTGGTGAGAGTTGGGAGCAAGCACCGGGTTCGACGGCATGGCATCGATTGCCAGGGTGGGTCCAGGACATGCTGTCGACAAGAGTTCTTTGTGGACTTCCGTGAGATTGGCTGGCATGACTGGATCATTCAGCCTGAGGGTTACACAATGAACTTCTGCACAGGGCAGTGCCCAGTGCATGTGGCAGGCATGCCTGGCATTGCTGCCTCCTTTCACACCGCAGTGCTCAATCTTCTCAAGGCCAACACAGCTACAGGCACCACTGGAGGGGGGTCATGCTGTGTGCCCACAGCCTGGCGCCCTCTGTCTCTGCTTTACTATGATAGGGACAGCAACATTGTCAAGACTGATATACCTGACATGGTGGTAGAGGCCTGTGGGTGCAGTTAGTCCATGGGTGGTATGGGCTGCCCAAGGTGGAATAGACAAATATGCCTCCACAGAGGTGCCCTTCCTTGAGAGGAGGGACTGACTCCATTACCACCTCTGTCCAGAAAGTGCACTACCTCTTCCTGAGCAACCCATGAAAATTATTCCAGCTTTGACTTGAGGAGATCTTCATATAAAGAGAGTCACTGTACCATCTTCACAACCACCCGCCTCTCTCCTAGAGCATGGTCCATACAGCAAGCCCCACATGCTCAACCGCCATCCCAGAGACTCTGATCCACCTCCAACCATGAGCAGTGCAACCTGGTTCCCAGGCAGACATCCATAGCCCACTCTTAATCCACCCCAAAATTCACTATGCCTCCCCATCCTTTACACTCAATAGCCTCCACTCTGGATAAGTTGACCCCTCCCCGTTCTCTTGATTTTCTGGATCTCCAGAGAGACCCCCTTCCTTGGTTTCACTAAAGATTAGATCACTACTCTCCAAAATGAGGCTCTTTCCTCTCTGTGCCTCGAACCTCTTTCCTTCTTACTTGTCCAGTTGTGCTGCTAAGGCCCTCTTGGCACACCCACATCCATTCTTTGTCCTCTTCCCTGTTCTATGCCCTTGCAGGCTTACTCACTTGAGTTCCTTTGGTCCCTGCTTCCTGCTGAGTTTGACTAAGGGGACACACAGGCAAAAATTCAGGGTCTTTATTATTCCTGCTCTCTCAGCCTAAGTGCCATGGTTCTGTGTGACTGTGGCTGTGACCACATCCCTACAGCTCCTTTCTGGCTCCCTTCTTCCACGGCTCTTGCCCTGCTTGTGTTCTGGTATCTTTGCTTCCACACTAGAGGCCTATAATGGCTCTCTACTCTTATTGGCCCCTAGATGTTTCAACATCCCTCGTTGGTTCCCTTAACCCTGCCCATACCTCTGTAAAGAAGTCCTTCATGAAGTCTTCTCAGTGATACCAACACACAGCTGAGTGGGTCTTCTGTCCCCTGCCAGGACCCTGACTGACATGCCAGATGACACACAGCCTGCCTGCCCTGCCGATTTCTGCTCGCTCCGCACACAGGTTCTTTGGGGCCGAGCTATTGTGTCTATCCCATATATCATGCTGCTTCCTTCCCTAGGCTGTCTGCCCTTCTTTATTAACCCCCCTCCATCCTTTCAGAATCATCTTTACTGGCCTCAAGGCTACTAAAGACCTGAGTTTTACCTGCTCCTCTCCTTGCCCTGTACTCGCTCCAAGACATAAGACAGATCGCTGTTCAGTGGGCAAGTAGGCTGACAACCTCTGGGCATACACATGATGAGAGGCAGAGAAATGGCTCAGAGATGGCTGCCTTCTTTTCACCAACTCCCAGGGCTTCATCCAGGAATCCTGCTTGGAAGTTGAAACTGGCTAAGGGCCACTAGAGTGGGACAGGGAATAAAAATGTAAGGCTTGGAGTGAGAAGAGGGAGGCATTTGCTCTGACGGGGTTCTCTCTAAACCAGTGATTTTCAAGCTGTGTCCCGCAAGAATTTTTAAAACATGCACTACCTATTTAGTCAGGGACACTGACCTCTTTTCCATTAGACTGTCAAATTAAAAAATGACAACAGCCAACCTACAATAGCTGTCCAGTGTGTATACCCTATATTGAACCATAAATACGTAAGTCATATAATAGAGTTGCATCTTATTGGTCATGTCGTGCAATAAGTTTGTGTCTTGGTACCAGAATCTTTCCATACGAGTATAGACACCTGGTTTTTAAAAAAAAATCATGTTGGAGCAAAAAGGGTAGGTAATTAATACTATTTTTTTGGTAAATCAACCAAAATTATATCTATTTTTTGTCAGATTGGCAAAAAAGTATAATTTTTGGTGTGCAGCAGAATTTCAGTAATTAGTTTATGTGTGCCTTGAGATGAAAAAGGTTGAAAATCACTGCTCTAGACCTTTGCCCTCTTCCCCCTCCATCTCTTCACTTTAGTCGGACAGTCCTGAACCATGGGGTCAATATTGTCTGTAGCCCAAGGCCGAGTTTTTGCAAAACCCATGTGTCCTTTGAATTACGTGATGTCTGTGTTTGCTCATCTTATAACCCCCTTCTGCCAGGTTCTGAGGTCCCTGGAATAGGAACGCTAGAGGAGAAAGTCTGAAAGGGACCTCCTGGGGGACGGCAAATCTGAGCTGCAGGGCTTCCTGAGCAAACTGGGTGGAAGTCATCCCACCTGGGACTTGAGATCTTTATCTAAGGAGAGACTCTAAGGAACTCTTTCAGTACCTCTCCCGCCCCACCCACATCCCTCCCGCATCTACCGTCGCTCAGGCCCACTGCAACTTCAGTCACCAGGGCCAAGACTAAGGTGAGGTGAAGTGAGGCACTCTCCTTATGGGCAAAATTTTGAGGGGATGACAGAAAAATGTATCGATCGATATAAATAATATCTTAATTCAATATTTTTAAAACATCAAAATTAATGCAAAAAATCCATGATGAACAAAATGTCAAATTTTTAAATAAACACAGGATCAGTATTATTCCCTTTCTTCTTTGGCTCTGCTTTTTGTAACAAAGAAAAAGAGTGAGGCTGTCTTCTTCCAAACCTTTTCTTCCAGAGCACCCTGGCCCCTAAATCTATACTGTGAAGCTTTTCTCTTTTGGGCAAGATAATCACTCAGGATTCTTCTACTTCCTTACCCACCCCTAGGCCTTGTTGCTACCCCCCAGCCCCAACCAGGTTAGTGGTAGGGCGGGCCTGTGAGGCAGATGGCTGGGGTATTTATAACCCAAGAGCACTTCTTGGGAAAAGTGACTAAGATGCTAAGAGCATATTTATAGCTGGGTTCTGACGCAAGTGTCGGTGGGGAGGTAGGGACAGGCCAGGCACAGCAGCAAGAGGGTAGGAAGAGCTGAAAATTGGGGGCACCTGACAGAGAGTATAGGTGAGAGGTGGTGTCAGTGGCTCCTGCAGCCACTTCTTGCTCCTCCCCTTGGCCCTGTCTCCTAGCACCAACGGGTAAGCCCTCTGAAACACCGCCATGGGCAGAAACCTCTGCTTTGGAGTTCTACCGTCCAGAGCCCAGGCGTGGAGGGCCGTCACCAGCCCGGCCAACAGAGAGGGATCTGGGAGCTCGGGAGAACACTGGACAGAGGTGCTTGAGTGTTTCAGAACATGGGTAGAAATGCAGGGTGGACAGGAAGGTCTATAAAGTCCCATTGTCCCTTCTCCCTGCTCCTCACCACACAGTGCCTTGAGGTTCTAGTAAGAACCTCGCACCCATCATCATGCTCTATTGCCACCTGTCAGTGTGATGAGGTCCAAAGCCAGAGGTAACAGTGATGTGGGTCCTGATGACAGCCTCTACTCTCTGGCAGTAGCAAGATGAGAGAGCAGAGGGACCAGCGTCTCTCCTGTCGGAGAGTCAGAGTCCCCAGAGTGAGAGGTTGGGAAGTGCTGCATGTCTCCACTCACCAGAGCAGCCCCTTCCCTGCGAAATTGATCAGCTCCAAGCCAGCTGCTGTCCAGTGGCTCAGCACTGCCACACGGTGGACATTGACGGTACTGAGACCCAGCTCCCAAAGCACCACCTCTGCCCCTGGGGCCGGATCTAGCAGTCTCTCTTGACGGCCCCCACTGGCTAAATAGTGAAGAGACGAATAAAATGAAGTGGGGACACCTTTCCAAATCCCGCTCACTTCCTCCCCGTCTTCTTGAAGAAACTGGGGCATAAGGAGAATGTCTAGCATGAGGCCTTCCCTTTGAGTTCACGGTGGAGGCACCTTGGCCCTCCCATTTGAAGTCAGTGAGGAAGTGTAATAAGTAGGGCTGGGATTGGAACTAAGGTTGCTGCACTCTTTGTTTTGCTCTCCTCTTAAAAGTCCTTAAACCACCATTAACGGAGACCTGGCACCACCTCTAGGATGCCCCACATTTAGGCACCTCTCACAGTCCTGGGAAAGAGAAGCAGCAGCTGGGTACAGGCCCTCCCAAGTCCCACGCCCCCTGCCAGCCTCAATGGACTCTGCCCTGCTGTGGGATTGCATCACCCTCACCCCCCACCTCTCTGGGTTTTCCCAGACATCACAGTATCATGCCAACCCCATGCCCCTGCCCTCCTCCACGTTGTGCTCCAGTCCAACTGGACTCTGGGCAGCCAGCACAGGCAGGGTCATGGGGTGACTTCTGTGTCCCGTGGCACTGCCACCTTGGCCTGGGCAAAAGGACTCTGTTCCTCCCACCCCCTCTCCCCAACCTCTCACCCCTGCCCCAGACCTATAGCTAGAAATAGAGACCTGAGTTCTCTTTCTTGCCCAGAGACCCCAGAGAAATAACCACTGGAACTCACAGCTACATTGTGGAAACTGCTACAGCTGTGGCCACAGAATGACCTAGAAAAGCTGAAGGGATGGGGAGAAATTGCCCTTCGCCACCTTGCTATATGGAGTTCCCTCCCCCAGGTCCCAGGCCTGGAGGACTGACCATGTGAAATCATCCTCTTTCTTGCATCATGCATGTCCACATTGCCCCCCAACCCCCATACCCCTACCTTAATCTCAGTGACCAGGGACAGATGGTGAAACCTGATCTGGGGGGGGGACACCCACCCCCTGCAGGGGCTTGATAGGCAGCAGAACTGGCCAATCTGGGGCTCAGAGGGTAGGTCTGCCAGCTGACCACAAGGAGAGCCCAGGCTTCAGGCTCTAAAGAGTAACCACACTTGAGCCGTGAGGGTCAAAGTGGCAGGCTGTGCTAAACACAGCTACCTATCGGCTCATCCACTTTCCGCTAGGCAATAGAAAGCAGGCGGCTCTACCCTTGGCTAAGGGTAGGTGTGGCACTGGTGTCTGCTGCTGCTGTGCCCTCACTGGCCTCTCTACAAAATCAGATTCAACAGAAGGAGCAGCTGCCATCCGAGGCTCCGTCCTGACCCAAGGCCATTCACCAGGATCATGGGGCTCCCAGGTGTTCATCTCGAGCTGGTACTGCTCTGGGCACTGGTGTGGGCACAGGGGGCAAGGTCTGTGTGTCCCTCCTGTGGGGTCCCCACACTGGCACCCCAAGCAGAACGAGCTCTGGTCCTGGAGCTAGCCAAGCAGCAAATCCTGGAGGGGCTGCATCTGACCAGTCGTCCCAGAATAACTGATCCTCCACCCCAGGCAGCACTGACCAGAGCTCTCCGGAGACTACAGCAGGGAAGTGTGGCTCCGACGAACGGGGAGGAAGTCATCAGCTTTGCTACCACCACAGGTGGGTGAGGAAGAGATGGGCAGAAAGCAGAAGGAAAAAGGAGGCGGAAAGGGAGACTGACAGAAAAGGCAGACAGAGCTGGGTGTGGGAGGAGGAGGAGAAGCTGGGGCAGGGACTGAGTGCAGGGGATGCAAGGCAGTCCCTGTTTCTTCTAAAAGTGGAAGCTAGGGAGAGCAGTGGGCAGGGCTTGTGGGAGTCTCAGAGGAGCGCTCTATTTCTGCTCAGTCCCTCTGTCCTTTCTCCATCTTTCTGGCAGACTCCTCCAGGTCAACCTGCAGCTCCATGCTCACCTTCCACCTGTCCACTCCTCGGTCCCACCATCTGTACCATGCACGCCTGTGGCTGCATGCGCTCCCCACCCTTCCAGGCACTCTTTACTTGAGGATCTTCCGATGGGGCCCAAGGAGGAGGCGCAGAGGGTCCCTCGCCTTCTTGGCTGAACACCAAATTACAACCCCTGGCTGGCATGCCCTAACTCTGCCCTCTAGTGGCTTGAGGGGTGAGGAGTCTCCTGTTCTGAGGCTCCAGCTGGACTGCAGACCCCTAGAAGGCAACAGCACAGCTGCCGGACAACTTCAACGGCTCCTGGACACAGAGGGAAACCAGCGGCCCTTCCTGGAGCTTAAGATCCAGCCCAATGAGCTGGGAGCTGGCCGGGCCAGGAGGAGGACCCCCACCTGTGAGCCTGAGACACCCTTATGTTGTAGGCGAGACCATTACGTAGACTTCCAGGAACTGGGCTGGCGGGACTGGATCCTGCAACCTGAGGGGTACCAGCTGAATTACTGCAGTGGGCAGTGCCCCTCCCACCTGGCTGGCAGTCCGGGCATTGCTGCCTCCTTCCATTCTGCTGTCTTCAGCCTCCTCAAGGCCAACAATCCTTGGCCCTTGGGTACCTCCTGCTGCGTCCCTACTGCACGAAGGCCTCTCTCTCTCCTCTACCTGAACCGTGATGGCAATGTGGTCAAAACAGATGTGCCAGATATGGTGGTGGAGGCCTGTGGCTGCAGCTAGCAAGAAGACCTGGGGGTCTGAAGTAAGGAGATCAAGTTGGGGGTTCCCAGGCAGAGGGCATCTGTGGCTGGAAGCATCAGATTCCTGATCTGTACTCCCACACAATGGGCCACTTGGCTGTATGACCAGGTTGACCCCCATGACACCCAAATGGACACTTTCTTGTCCAGAATCCGGCCTATTCCAGGCTGGTTGATGCGTGGGAATATGGGGAAAGTGTGTCCTCTGAAGGAATCTACCCAGAAAGTATGATGTCCTACCCTAAGCCCTATGAAAAAATAGCAGAGGCAAGGGAGGGAGGGAGGGAAGGAGCAGGCAGAGAAAAATGACTTAGTCTCTCCCAAGAAGAGAGAGTCTTCAAGTGAGAGAAGGAAGAAGCAGACTGGGGTCCAGCAGGCTTGGGAGCAGGGGAAACAGGCCAGCCAAGTGTAAGACTGTTGAAATGCTTTATGGGAGGTTCAAGAGGGAGATGGGCAAGGGACTAAGGAAAGATGTTAGGAGGGCCCCAGAAATGGGACTCAGGAGAGAGGAGTGCTGAGCCTGAGGAGTTCATTGGTTTTTCCCAGTGGGGGGTCAGGGCCACTGGAGAGGAAAACATTTATAATTTCCAAATAGAGATGGTGGGGGGGGGGATCAATAAACGTGAGTCATAAAAAAGGGCTTGGGTGATGGTCCAGCACAATGGTTCTCAAGGTGTGGTCTGGGGACCCCTGGGAATGTCTCCAGACCATTTCAGGGTTGTCCACATGGTCAAAACTATTTTCATAACAATGCTAAGATGTTGTTTGCCTTTTTACTTTCACCTTCTCAAAAGCATAAAGTGGAGGTTTCCAGAGGCTATGTGACATGTGATTACATCATCTCTCTGACATCATTGTTAATGAAATGTGTGCTTGTGTATTCTTGTGTTAAAAACTTTTTTTTTTTTTTGGTCTTAATTTCTAATATGGTAAGTTGATATAAACCACACAAACAAAGACTCTATAATTGCCCTGACTGGGTGGCTCAGTTGCTTGGAGCGTCATACCATACACCAAAAGTTTTCAGGATTGATCTCTGGTCAGGACACATACCTAGGGTCAGAGTTCCATCCCTAGTTGGGGCACCTATGGGAGGCAACCAATTGATCTCTCTCTCTCAAATCAATAAAAACATCCTTGGATGAGAATTTTTTTAAAACCTCAATTTAAAGATTGTAAAGTGGTCTTAAAACCAAATATTTAAGAATTGCTGATCTAGAGAAAGCAGTGTGGGAAGAGAAAGCATTGTGCTCTAAAAGAAGCACCCTGGGAGACAGGGCACATGGCAGAGACAAGAGCATGTGTAGGGTCCCTTCTTCCCTGGTGACCTCTAGTCTTGCTTGACCCTCTGGGTATAACTTGTGTTTGAGTCAAATTCACATGGGGGAGGAGGCTCAAATAGGGCTCTTTATTTGTCTGGAACAACTACTATCTATATTTGTCTGTCCTCAGAACTCTTCCTAGCTTCACCTTTTCCCCTTGACCCTCAGGCTAACCAGTTAACCTACTAACCTCCAGGCCCAAGGAGGTGGTTCTTGGAAGCAGAGTTAGGATGTGGGAGGTCTGTTTGAGTGGTAACAAAAAAAAGAAGGGACCCCCTTTTCCCTCACCATGCTTTCCTTTCTCCTAAAGGAAGGTCAGAGAGAATAAAATAGCTGCCCCTTCCCCTGCATCTGGTTACCATGGCAACACAAATCCAAAGAGACAGAGCCCTCCCCTGTCAGACACTACCGCTCGGCACAAGCAGCCTCTGCCAGTGTGCGCCTCCGTTTCTTTGGGTTCATGCAACCCCTTTCCTGGACTCCTAACCGGGATTTGTGCGGGGCGGGGAGGGGGGACGCTGTAAAGCCTACTCCTTTGGTTTCCCCAGTTTCCTCTGCCGCGGCTGCAAAGAGGTGTCATGTGCCAAAGGGGCCAGCAGAGGGAGCAGACAGCCTTGAAGAGCAGAAGGAGACCGGGCAGCGCAGGGGTGCGGAGGTGGCCGCAGGCTCCAGATCTTCCAGACCAGGGATAACGGGAGTTCTTCGGGAACAGTACATCAGTGCCAGGGTCCTTAGTAATGTAAAGAACACACACTCTGTACCCAGGGCCTCAGCCTCTGTTCCTCCAAAGACCCTTCACCTCCCACCCAGGACTCCCAAACCAAGGTTGTCATAATTCTGTTTCTACCAAACCCCAACTCCGTCCCGACCCTTCAAGTTCCATCCAAAGGATGAGGCCAGCTGATAAACTGCAGGGTAGTGGAATGTTCAGTTAGCACCCTACCTCCAACAGTTTCTTTCTGGGATGAACTTTTTCGTCGTCCCCTTCGCGTCCCGCAATATATTTCTCCATCTGTTTTTTCTGGTTCTGGTTGAAGGCCTCTTCCTCGGCAGCCGAGCCAAGAATCCATGCCGGGATTTACTGCCCACCACCAGCAGCGTGTTCGGCGGGGGGGGGGGGGGGGGGGGGAGGCCGCATAGGGTCCCTCTAGGGAGGGGGAGGATCCTGGGGGTCCTGGGGGTGCAATAAGCCCGGCACCCCCTCTCTTGCTTCCAGCTACCCCGCCTTATCCTACTGAACGGCAAGAGGGAGGGAAACAGGAGGGAGTTGAAGGGCGAGCGGGAAGAGCGGCGGCGCGCCAGAGGCTTGAGCAAGAAAAAGTTTTTGCATTAGGGAAAAAAAAGTTTGCGCTTCTCGCGGGTGGTCCCGGCTCGCAGCCCAGCGGGCTGGGCCGGCGGGAGGGCTGGGGGCCAGGTTAGGGGGGGTGGGGGTGGCACTGAGGCTGCGCTGCCTTGGCCCCGTCCGCACCCCCCTCGCCACCGCACACCCCCCAGCCCAGACTCCAGCCCTGGACCGCGCATCCCGAGCCCAGCGCCCAGACTGAGGTGAGAAAGGGGGAAGGCGGGGGACCACCTGGGAGAGGTGGGGGAGGGGGTCTGAAAGGATGCTCTGCTGGCGAGGCACTCTACCCAGCCTAGAGGGAGAACTGGGACACAGAGGCAAAATTGGGGTTGGGAGAGCCTGGGGTGAGATATTAGAAAGTTTGGAGAATTTTTTCATTTGTATCTCCCTTTCTCTGTATCTTTTTTTTTTCTTCTTCTGACAGTCTGTGTGTCTGTCTCAGGCAATCGTGGATCTCTTTGTCTGTCTCTGCCTCTCCCATACATTAGAAACATCTCACTTCCATGAGGTTGGGATGAAGAGGCTGGAGGGACGGCTAGCTGGAGGTATGCGTGTAGAGAGGGAACTCCAGGTGTGTCTCTGAGCGCCGACAGGAAGACGTCAGTGTTTCTGAAAGGAGGGAACAGCTAAAGAGAGAACCCCAGGTGGGGTGGAGATGGGTCTGTGTGAGGCGACAAAACCACTGGGGGGCTGCTGGGCTAGAATCCCTGGCGTGTCTCGTGACAGATGTGCTTGATGGTGCATGTGTTTTAGAAAAAGGTGTGTCTTCCAGACAAGGAAGGGAGTTGGAGGGACCAGTGTCTAGTTTAGGCCCTAGAAAGACTCCCCAAGCGCTATGGATACCTGAGTCCCAAAGGCTGTGGACAGGGTGCCCAGGAGGAGCCCATAAGCGCTTGTCTTGACCCCCTGACCTCAGGACCACCGGGACAGCTGGGGCCAGCAGCGGGGAAACCCCTACTGGGACTGGGCGGGACCACTGGCCACTGCCTGCCGGTGCATCCCTGTTGGCCCCTCTCCCAAACGGGAGCTGGGGATCGAGGCCCCTCCTCTGACTCAGACCACCCTGCCTGCCCTTTCTCCCCGCTCTGAAGCCTCTTTCAGGCCCCGTGACCCCGAAACAATCCTTCCTAGGCAGCTAGCTTTGGGGACAGGATTAGTAGGGAAAGGGGATCCCATAGAGACTGAAAAATGAAGATTTTAGGGGGCTGGGGAGCTGGGGTCTTCATAGCATAGGTCTTCACGGTCCGGTAGAGGGAGAAGGCGGGGCGATTTCTCCGGGGAGTTGTTAGGGCCGGAGTTCGGGTGGTTTTCCCTAGGGGGGCGGGGTCCAGGCCCCCTCCCCCACTATCTCACCGGCATCCCCGCCTGGCGGCACAGACCCCGCCCTTTACGTCACTAAGGGGGTTCCCGGGGGTCTGTTGGTGTTAACCCTTGGGAAGCCAGCGGGGATACCCAGGAACATAATGTGTCCTGAAGGCTCCCCTCTCCACACACACCTTACTTTATTTATCTAGTCACGTTCCCTCGCTGTAGTTTATGGATTCTTCTTTCTTTTCCACCCTACCACTAGGACCCCCCACTCTCCAACAGTGCCCCACCCCCGGGCGCCACTGCCAGCTTTCTGGATACACTGAGGGGAAAAGGGAAGAATGTGTCCCGCCTCTCAACACTCCCCTCCCTTCACTGCGGCTCGCTCGACTGGGCTCCGGGGCGGGCGGGGGAAGCGGAGCCGTCTGCAGCCAGAGCCTGCGGCGGCGACTTGGGTGGGCCGAGGAGGCACGGGGGCGGAGAAGGCGGGACCCGGAGAAGGGGGGCGGGGCCGACTCCTAGGAGTTGGGGAGCGGGGGTGCGAGAGGGACTCTGGAAAATAGGGAGACACAGAAGACGATTAAGAGCTACAGCCGCGGAACCCTAGAGCTAGCTACTTGTTCTATCCTGTGCTCACATCCAACACCCCAGAAAAACGTAACTAAAGCTGGAAAAGTTGGCAATATTTTCCTTTCATTAGTGTGAAGGGGATTCGTGGGTGGGCTGTGGCACGCGTGGGCGAGGAGGGATGTCGCCCCATTTCCATCGTGGCTACCCCACGGCTGGGCAGTGTGTCGAAAAAAATGACTGGGTACGTTTTGGGGAGTTTCTTCAGTGTTTGGGGGGTCGTTTGCGATCCCCCGCCTCCTTCCCCTGGGTGAGTCATAGAAGGAGGCGGGAGAAGTGTCCCCCGATCCAGCTGCCAGCCAGCTGTGCCCCCCCCTAAAGTGCCAAGGTCGAGTTGGGAGGTCTTAGATGCGGGATCCGTATCCACACTAGGAAAGGAGTTGGGAAGGGTGCAGTCCAGGCTGCGGGGCTCTGGCTAGGTCATGGGGTCCGGGTTCCGCTCCCCATCTTACCCCGCCCTCACCCTAAATCCCAGCATCTCAGGATCACCCACCGCGCCGGCCGGCCCGCTCCCGGTCGTTCTCCACCCTACCCCGCCCCACCCCACCCTCAGTCCCGGGAGACCGGAAAACCCGAGGTGGAGTAAAAACTGAAGTTTGAGGAGAAAATGGTTCAGCGTCACTCTCTCCTCTCTCACTGCTCTTAATGGATGATGATTTTGTGTGTTTTTGTTTGTTTTTTTAATTCTCCCATAGCCTTCCTTCCCAGTCCCTTTCCCGTTCCCCCCAAACAGACCAAGAGAGAGCTAGGTGGGCGCCCAGATTCAAACTACCCTAGAATAACACCAGCTTCCATCGTTTGTACCCAGAGGACCGGGAGGTTCACCTCAGAAACGGTATCCCGTTTTTCAGTTTTCTGCCTTAGAGAGAAAAGAGCAGACAGACAGACCATCCGCTCTCCCTCCTGACCCCACCAGCCTCACTGTCTGGGCTGTGGCGAGGGCTCCCTCTGCTGGACACTAGAGAGATTGTAGGCGGGCTGTCCCTCAGCAGTAACAAACGAAGGGAAGGGAAAGAGACTTAGGTAGAATAGCCAGGCCCATGCTTGAAGTCAGAGGCTCTTGCCTGAGTCCCATCCTACCCCTCAAAGCTGGTCCACGGTCAGAGCAAGAAGTAATAGAGAGTCCATGTTTTTAAAGTCACTTGAAGCTCGTATAGGCACAATTAGTCCACAACACTTCCCTATACACACGGACCACACAGGCAAAGCTCCCATCAAGTTCCCACAAAAATCACCAAGACTGCCCCTGCCTCTTTGGGACTTCTCTTCCTGTCCTCACCCTGACTCAGTGATGCTCATTTCAATCTGATTTCCCATGGCAGATATCTTGGAGGGGCTAGGGGCACAGGGGAAACTCTCTGCCCAGTGTTCTCACCTAAGTTAGTTATCTGACCTTCCCTATTTCCCTCCCATCTTTATAATTTGCAGATCTCCCTTCCCCTCCTGCAGTGTTCCCACACTCTCCTTTGAGACACCATGTTCAACTCGATGACCCCACCACCAGTCAGTAGCTATGGCGAACCCTGCTGTCTCAGGCCCCTCCCCAGTCAGGGGGCCCCCGGCATGGGGACAGAAGGTCAGTACATATACCAATCTCTGGGCCTTGAGGACTGACAGATCTCTCACCCAGCCCCAGGGATCCCTCTTCTATTTCCTATCCCATGCCAGTTTTCCATCTACAAAATTTGAGCTGCCATGTAATATGGGCTTGGAATACGGGATCAGCCCAATTTAATATGGGCTTGGAAAGTGAAGACTCGTGTATCCCCCAGTCCAGTTGTCTTTCTTTTCTAGGACTGTCTGGTCTGCCCTTCTGCCACCAGGCCAACCTCATGCCTGGCCCCCATGGTTATGGGTCAGCCAGAGAGACCAACAGCTGCACGGAGGGTGAGGCCTCAGGCAACATCTCTTCTCTTTCTGCCACTCTGGGACTGGTCCGGAGGGAGAAAGCGGGAGGGCAGGGGATCTAACGTGCAAAAGGAAGTGCTTGAAGATGGGATCAAGGGGTCAGAGCATGATCAGGTAGTCACAGATGGGGGCAATAGGGTAAAGTAGAGTCACGTGTCATATTTTTTTTTTCTGAGTGTCAGAACACACAGGCTGAGTGCATGGAGAGACATGCCCCCTTACTTTCTCTATCTCCCTGTTTCTTGCCCAGCCCCACTCTTTCCTCCTCCCCGGAGTGCAGTCAAACTGACCAAGAAGCGGGCACTGTCCATCTCACCTCTGTCAGATGCCAGCCTGGACCTGCAGACAGTTATCCGAACCTCGCCCAGCTCCCTCGTGGCCTTCATCAACTCACGCTGTGCCTCTCCGGGGGGCTCCTACGGTCACCTCTCTATCAGCACTATGAGGTGCAGACAGCCTCGGGCTAAGAGATCCCGGTCTAAGAGGCCCCGAAAGACCCTACCAAACCCTATTCAAAGCCTCAAGCCCTCCAAACCACCAGACCCTGTTTGAATCCTTATCATTTCAAAGGCGTTGGAGCCCTCCTCAGCACCTCCCCAAGACTGCCTCAACCACTTCCCGCACTGTCTTCCAGGCACCCTCCACATAGTCTCAGAATTCCTGAGACTTTCTGAAGTGACAGTCCTAAATAACCACTCCCCTTCCTCCTCCTCCTCAGCCCATCTCTGGGATTCCCACCCCAGATGAATCACCAAAAAGGGACCTCGCCATCCTTCGGGGTCCAGCCCTGCGGTCCCCATAACCCCACCCAGGGAGGGATGATGCCGCATCCTCAGTCCCGGGGACCACTCCCAACTTGCCAGGTGAGAGCCCTCATATTACAACCTGATTTCTCTCAGCTCAGGGGGGCAGGGAAAGGACTTTATAGGGGAGCGTGAAGGAAGGACAAGAGATATAAAAGTTTCAGCACCAGAAAAATAACGGGATATAGGTGCTGGGGTTCACTCTTAGGGTTGAATCAGATTCTTCCAAATGAGATACCACCTTTAGTCCATTCCATTCACCAGTGCAGTCCAAGGAGGAAATCTCTCCCAAACTCAGGGGTTCCAGCTGCTTGGGTGGGGGCACTCGGGGCAGGAAGACCTGGCTGGGCTCCCTCTCTTCCTTCTGCCCACTTCTACCTTCATCACCCTCACTTCTTCCTTGGGGAAGTTGAAGTCTGAGCTGGACATGCTGGTTAGCAAGTGCCCAGAGGAGCCCTTGGAAGGTGACATGTCCAGCCCCAACTCCACAGGCACACAGGTAAGGACAGGGGCGGCTTTACTTCTGGAACCTGAGTAAACCAAAAGCTGCCATCCAAGTGACCCTAGGATTGCCTCTCCTGCCTTAGGATCCCCTGCTGGGGGTGCTGGATGGGAGGGAAGACATGGAGAGAGAGGAGAAGCCTGAGCCGGAATCTGTGTATGAGACTGACTGCCGTTGGGATGGCTGCAGCCAGGAATTTGACTCCCAGGAGCAGCTGGTGCATGTGAGCCCCAGGGGTAACAAGAATGCTGACTGGAACCTGTAGGAAATTCTGAGTGGGACACAATTTCGCAGAATTTCTGACTGGAAGCAGGCTGAGAGCAGGAGGTCCGAGGATACTGAGGTCAGGAAGTGCCCTTTTGAGCAGGCATAAACTCAAGAGTTGTGGCTTTGTTTTACGAACTTGGAAGAACTGAGACGTGGGCTATGATGTCCTTCCTACACCATCTTCCCCCATAAAGTGGAACCATAGGGGGATATGGTGTGGTGGGGAGGTCGAGGGGAGGAGGTCTGGGTCTCTGAGCATCGGGGAACCTCAGAGAGCCTCTGCGTCTTCTCCCCTCAGCACATCAACAGTGAGCACATCCACGGGGAGCGGAAGGAGTTCGTGTGCCATTGGGGGGGCTGCTCCAGGGAGCTGAGGCCCTTCAAAGCCCAGTACATGCTGGTGGTCCACATGCGCAGACACACGGGCGAAAAGCCACACAAGTGCACGGTGAGGCACCCTCTTCCCAAGCTCAGGGTCCTCCCTCACTTGAGGCTGCCCTCCAAGGCAGGGCCTCATTGTGACTTTCGTGGGCCCTAGGCACTTATGCCTTTGTAGGCCCCTTCTTCCATAAACAAGTATTAAACATTTATATTTTATGACTGTGTTTGTATGAAGATAAACATTGACATGATATATTAGAACACTTTCTTGGAACTACAAGCTCATTTTTCCTTGCTTTTCATATAAATTAAAACATTTTTGTGGGACCCTGAAAGTACTGCGGGCTCTAGGCACTGTGCCTCCTAGAGCAGGCATAACGGAGAAGCTGCCTCATGGAGAAGCCTGGCATTGAGGACAGACGACACCCCCAGATTACTCCATCCCAAAACGGCCCAAGAGCTCCATGCAGGGAGACCCGCCCTGACTTGACCAGGAGATGTTCTGGCCTCAGCTTCATGTCCCCGCAGGCAGAGTGCCTCCAGCTGCTTCTGTTTCCCAGTCTGTTGTCTGCCCATGTCCCCTAGTTATGGGACTTCTCCTGAAGCCCCAGTACTACCCCAACCTGAGTTATATTTTCTGACATATGTCCCTTTTGAGATTTAGGGTTCTTTTAATTCCATGCCCTTTTGTCTGAGAGCTATGCTTTGGTCCTATATCCCCCAGTTTGAGGGGTGCCGGAAATCATACTCACGCCTCGAAAATCTGAAGACGCACCTACGGTCACACACGGGCGAGAAGCCATACATGTGTGAGCACGAGGGCTGCAGTAAGGCCTTCAGCAATGCCAGTGACCGGGCCAAGCATCAGAACCGGACCCACTCCAATGAGGTGAATGCCTTACCTAAGAGACTCTCCCCACTTGAGAAGCCACCTACGGGGGCGGTTCCCCCATAAGAAATCCCTTAGCCCAGCACCCACTCCACAGAGGTGAGTTCTCCCCACCTATATAATTCACCTGGAGAAGGCCTTTTTGAAATTAAGAAGTTTCACTCACTACCTTCTACCCCTTACCTCTAACTTGCCAAAGGGCTAACCTAAGAAAGACCCATTCTTACTAAAGGAGACCCCTGACCCCTTCCATCCCTGAATTTAGGGGGCCTCAGACCGGGCTCACCCCCTCATCTTCCCCAGGCCTGGGCAGTCAACTTTCCTAATCTTTCCCCAATCCTCTCATTTCTTACTCCAAGGGCCCCACTCTCCTTATTTCCTTGGGTGCTGTGTGTTCCCCCCTTGCCCTCATCCTTGCTTGATGCCACCAATTTTTCACACTCCTTCTGCATTCTTCCACGTTCACACCTTTGCCTGCTGTCTTCATTTTCCACTCAACAGAAGCCGTATGTGTGTAAGCTCCCTGGCTGCACCAAACGCTACACTGATCCCAGCTCGCTCCGGAAACATGTCAAGACAGTGCATGGTCCTGACGCCCACGTGACCAAGCGGCATCGAGGGGACGGCCCCCTGCCCCGGACACCATCCCTTTCCACAGTGGAGCCCAAGAGGGAGCGGGATGGAGGCCCTGGCAGGGAGGAGAGTAGACTGACTGTGCCAGAAGGTGCTATGGTGAGACAGCCAGAGAACCCTCTGTCTGCACAGCTCCGACTGCCTCGCTGACATCATCCCAACTCGCCCATCCCCTCCTATCACTCCTCTGTGGCCAGACCCCCAGATGTCCCAATGTTGCTCCTTGGGCTACCCCAAGTCTAGGGATTTTAGTGTATTTATTTCATTGGTTCAGCAAATTCTTAAATAAGACTCACTGTATTCTTCTGAACCCTTTACGTGTATAAGTTCATGTACTCCCTCACAACAACTTCATGAGAAAGGAACTTATTGTCCCCATTTTCAGACGAGGAAATTCAGGCGTGGAGAAATTGCCCAAGGGCATAGAGCCAAGAGGGCTAATTTGACCCAGGTTGTCTGTGCTCCAGCCTAGGCTCTTCTCAATGCCTCTCCTCTGGTTTGCCCTGTCCCTCACCTGCTCAGCCCTCTCTACGCCTGTAAGCCTCCCCTCAATCCCAGCAGTCATTGGGATGCAGGCTTTTAGCTATTCACCAAGTTCAGGGAGCTATGGAAAAAGGAAAAGGATGTCACCCTCAGCCCTCATCTTTCCCAACAGAAGCCACAGCCAAGCCCTGGGGCCCAGTCATCCTGCAGTAGTGACCACTCCCCAGCAGGCAGCGCGGCCAATACAGACAGTGGTGTGGAAATGACTGGAAATATGGGGGGCAGCACTGAGGACCTGTCCAGCTTGGACGAGGGGCCTTGCCTTGCTGGCACCGGTCTTTCTACTCTTCGCCGCCTTGAGAACCTCAGGCTGGACCAGCTACATCAACTCCGGCCAATAGGGCCCCGGGGCCTCAAACTGCCCAGCTTGACCCACACGGGTGAGATCTGGGTGTAGGGGCGGGGTGGTTGCTGGGCTGAGATCTGGACCTTTCTTGAGGTTGGAGGAAGGACTTCACGCTTTGGGGATGCAATATAGCACCACTGTACACTAGAAAAATGTTCCCCTTCCTTAAGACGTTTTCCTTCCAACCACCAGAAAATTGTTGTGCTACACAAAGTATGTGAAGTGAATGCTGTCCCATAGGACTGTGCAGTGTAGAGCCTGTACAACTGTTGGCAGCAGCCCTGAATCCCCGATGAGACAGAAGCAGAAAGGGCATGGGAGAAAGAGACATAACTAAGTGGTCAGAGTTAAGGAGTCTTTCCTTGGGGTTCCAGGACAAGCCTGTCCCATGGGGGAGGCACGGTTAGATTCAGGGGGCCTCCTGACCACCCTACCTTTTCTCCCTATCACTTGCAGGCACCCCTGTGTCCCGCCGTCTGGGTCCCCCAGTTTCTCTTGACCGCCGCAGCAGCAGCTCCAGCAGCGTCAGCTCGGCCTATACTGTCAGCCGCCGCTCCTCCCTAGCCTCCCCCTTTCCCCCTGGCTCCCCACCAGAGAATGGGGCATCCTCTCTGCCTGGCCTCACACCTGCCCAGCACTACCTGCTCCGGGCAAGATATGCTTCAGCCAGGGGAGGTGGTACTCCACCCACTGCAGCATCCAGCCTGGATCGAATTGGGAGTCTCCCTGGACCTCCCTGGAGAAGCCGAACCGAGTATCCAGGATACAACCCCAACGCAGGGGTCACCCGGAGGGCCAGTGACCCAGCCCGGGCTGCTGACCACCCAGCCCCAGCCAGAGTCCAGCGGTTCAAGAGCTTGGGTTGTGTCCACACACACCCCACCACAGCAGGGGGAGGACGGAACTTTGATCCCCAACTCCCAACCCCTGTCTACTCACCACAGCCCCACAGCATCAGTGAGAATGTTGCCATGGATACCAGAGGGCTACGGGAGGAACCAGAGATCGGGACCTCCATGATGGGCAGTGGCCTGAGCCCTTATATGGACTTCCCACCTGCTGATGCTCTGGGTTATGGGGGACCTGAGGGGGCAGCAGCTGAGCCTTATGGAGCTAGGGGTCCAGGCTCCCTGCCTCTTGGACCGGGTCCACCTGCCAGCTACAGCCACAACCCTTGTCCCCAGCAGGTCTCCTATCCTGACCCCACCCCAGAAACATGGGGTGAGTTCCCTGCCCACTCCGGGCTGTACCCAGGCCCCAAGCCTCCAGCTGGAACCTACAGCGAGTGTCCTCGTCTTGAACATTATGGACACGTCCAGGTCAAACCAGAACAGGGGTGTCCAATGGGTTCTGACTCCACAGGACTGGCACCCTGCCTCAATGCCCACCCCAGTGAGGCGCCTCCACGCCAACAGCCTCTGTTCTCCCACTACCCCCAGCCTCCCCCACCCCAATATCCCCAGTCAGGCCCTTACAACCAGCCACCTCCTGATTATCTTCCTTCAGAATCCAGGCCTGGCCCGGATTTTGATCACCCCACTCACTCCACAGGACAGCTCAAGGCTCAGCTTGTGTGTAATTATGTTCAGTCTCAACAGGAGCTGCTGTGGGAGGGAGGGGGCAGGGGAGATTCCCCAGTCCAGGAACCTCTCTACCAGAGTCCGAAGTTTCTGGGGGGTTCCCAGGTTAGCCCAAGCCCTGCCAAGGCCCCAGTGGCCACATATGGACCTGGCTTTGCACCTAACTTGCCCAATCACAAGTCAGGTTCCTATCCTGCCCCTTCACCATGCCATGAAAATTTTGCAGTGGGGGGAAACAAGCCTTCCCACAGAGTAGCAGCACCACCCCGACTTCTGCCCCCTCTGCCCACTTGCTATGGGCCACTTAAGGCAGGGGCCACCAACCCCAGCTGTGGCCACCCTGAGGTGGGCAGGTTGGGAGGAGGTCCTGCCTTGTACCCTCCTCCTGAAGGACAGGTGTGTAACCCCCTGGACTCTCTTGATCTTGACAACACTCAGCTGGACTTTGTGGCTATTCTGGATGAGGCCCAGGGGCTGAGCCCTCCTCCTTCCCATAACCAGGGGCACAGCTCGGAACATACCCCACCTCCCGCTGGAGCCCCCAACATGGCTGTGGGCAACATGAGTGTCTTACTGGGATCCCTGCCTGGTGAGACACAATTCCTCAACTCTAGTGCCTAAAGTGTGGAACCCCACCCACCCCAGGTCCACATTTCCTAAGGGGTGTTCATCCTCCCAGAGAAGTCAGGAGAAGGAGCCATGGCTCCCTGGGATGCCCCAGGGATAGGAAGTAGGGGCTGGGGGCTGAATACAATCTGTATATATTTGGGGGAGAAATTTGATAATGACACTGTTTCCTAATAAAGGAACTGCATCAGAAATAGCCCTGCTTTATGTGCTATTATCTTGGGGAGGAGTTATCCCCCCCACCCGGGCCACACTTTCCTCTTTAGAGAAGCTCCCTCACCACATCCCAACCCCTCAGGTCAGACTCACAAAGATGGAGACAATCATCTGGGAGACATGGGATTTAAAGGGATGTCCTCAGAACATACCACACCACCAGGGGGTACCACTGGAACATGTTTTCTCTTCTTTCTTGCCCCGGTCAGGGGAAGAGGCTGGTGAAGTCAGTGAGCATCAGCTGGACTAGCTGCCCAGGGTAGAGAGCATGGGCTGCTGGGTCAGATGTCTCCTGCTCGGGCCGAAACAGGGTTGGTCCAAACACAATTCCCAGATTGTGAGGGGTCATGCGGTTCTTATCTGAATGTGTCATCACCCTGTGGGCAAAGGCCAAGAGAAGGGGCTGAAAGGAAGCAGCTTTGCCACTTCGAATAAATCTAACTTTTCAAAGAGTTGAGCAGGGAAGAATTCACCCCTCTATGTGACAGCCAAGGAAACCAAGGGGAGAGAGCCTCAAGGGGGATGGAGATAGGACCAGCAGAGAAAACTTCAGAATACAACTCAGAGATACAAGCTAGGATACAACCACCTCTTCCCAGCTTCAGAGACTTCCCCTAGAGTCCTCTCTGCTCACAATTTGGAAGGCTTTAATTCAAATGGCTATCCTCTCTCAGAAGTCACTGCCCAGGCCCAGCTCAGCCAAATAAGCCATAACCACTGTTCCAATGGGAAACAAAGAGGCAGAGGGAAGGAAGAGGTTAGATTTCCCTTGTTTCTCACACACCATCAATGAGCTTGAATTGATCCCCATTTCTCCATTTGATGCTAACCAGCAGGTTTTGACCCTCATAATATGACCCCTGCATAGAGGTGGCCACTTTCCCCAATCTTGTCTAAACTTAGGTGTTTCCCTACCCTAGCCCCATTCAAACAGAGTCTGCTGCATGCTCCACCCCACCCTCTTCCTGAATGAACAAAAAAGTTCCGTTTTCCTGACCTGCATAAATGCTCCAGGAGGTACCGCAGAGTGTCATGGTTGGGCTTTGGCAGTGAGACTATTAATTCTCGTATTTGAGAGAGGCGTTGCTCTGATTCCGGGAGTGCTAGAGAGAAAGAGTAATGGGAAGAGCACAGGGGCGAGCTTAGGGAAGACGCTAGTGCAGGGCGGGTAACATTTCTCTTTCCAAGGCCCATGGAAGACATTTATCCATCACGGCTTTCTTTTTCACTGAGCCCAACTGCAGCCTTAGAATTCTTTTCAACTCAGCCCTCTAAACATTCACACACACACACACACAACAACTAGAGTTGGCACATGTGTTGAAAGTTATTTACCATCTCTGTGTTCAGCATGAGACAGAAAGTGTAAGGAAACCTCTACTCTGTTCTTTACCACTCATGCCCCTTCACCCCCAATATTAAGGGCATTGCCCAAAGCTCCCATCCCTTACCAAGGGCAGCACGAAAATGGGGCAGCAGCAGTGGAGGTATCAGAGGCTGAGGTAGCTCCCTGAGAAAAAGCTTCAGGGCTCCAGTGACCACGTGGATGTCATCCCACTCAGCACTGTCCAAATCTAACCGGCCTTCTGGAAGGAGAAGTAGGTATAGAGGGGCTCAGGGCTCATGAAGGACCAGAGGGACCTACAGACTGAAAGATGAGGAGTTCTATAGAAGAATGCAGCTAAGGCAGACCATAGGAATGCTTAAGGGGTCTACGGTGGGGCAACACAGCAAAGGCAGGAATGGGGACAACCGGTCCAGGAGCAGGACATGGGGAAATCCACAGAGAGCAGGGAGGATGTGGGGAACTTCTAAGGATTTAAGGGACCTTCTGTGTAAATACCTTGGCCTGGTTGTTCTGGAAACACGTATCTCCCATCGGAGGTGATCGCTCGCTCTGTAACAGGTGTAAGAAGAGATTAAGAGATAAGACAGGCAGTTCCATCCAGAAGCTCTTCCCGTTCTGCCGGCTCCCTCACTCAGAACCATCTGCTCTGAGACATGAAGTTCTTAGTACCACCACTTGCCCACAGGCCTGCTCACCTCTGTCCACCAGGAAGCGAAGTTTCTGGACCACTGCCAAATTCCCGCTTACCCGGTAAATGCCATCTACATCTAGACCTAGGATATGAAGCAAGGAGAAGATAAGGATTCCTGCTCTAGCCTGTGTGTATGGAGAGGTCTGGTGAAAGATCTGAGGGTGGACAGAAAAAGTTTAAAAGGAAAACCAGGATGAGGGAAGTGGGGAACTCAAGGCCTTGGCCTGTTGAAAGGGTAGATTTTGGGGTCTCTGGGAAAATGACCTCTCTTATCCACAGCAGCAATGCAGAGCCGCACAAAGCTGGGCACGGTGTCTCCTTCCCGCTGACACAACGATTCCAACTGGCAGCCAAACACCTGGTCTGGGGAGATAGAGAGTGAGGCGGGAAGCCAGTGCCAATGTCAACCATGGAAGCTCTTAGCACAGGCCTTCACCTCAGAGTTGGCCTCCTGGCCCTCCTGGCTGTCTGCTCTGGGTCTGCAAAAGGGTACATCCACCTCCCAACAATCAGCAGTAATGGGAAAAGCAGAGGCCTCAAAAGACCGCTGATTCAGTTCTGGGAAATCCTCCTGGGAGCCTCACTGAAAATCGGCTGATGCCCAGATCAGGAACGTAAAAACACTGCAGGAGGCACGAAGGAGAACGGTGCCAGCTGGCCCAGTCCGCCTCACCTCGGAGCAGACCCCGCTCCTGCAGGCTTTGCAGGGGTGGTCTCTTCGCGATAAGCCGCTTTAGTTTGTTCCGCACGCGGTTCTGCTCACTTCCTTCAGGGCAGCGACCTGCAGGAGACGGGTGGAATCCGAGTGTGAGCGCAGCCGCGGGGCGAAGGAACCTGGTGACGGTCCCCCAGGTACCTCTACCCCCGCCCCCGGCCCGCCCCTAACTGGAGCTCCGGCGGCCGCCGAAACGGAGCAGTGGCTTGGGCCCCGGCTCCTCTTCTTCGTCCTCCCCGGCGCTCAGCTCCCCCAGCTCCGCCGGTCCCGAGCCTGACAGACGCAGCTCCAGGGGGTTCTCCCGATCCTAGACCCGGACAGGTGAGGTGGGCCGAGAAGAGAGAAATCTGCACCCCCAGCTCGAAGCAAGGAGACCCTAACCGGCTGCTGAGGCCCCACGTCCCAGCCCCACCCCAGAGCTTTACGCGGAGGCCCCCCGCCCCGCCTCACCCCTGAATCCTACAGTCCCTTCCCCACGCCCACGGCCCCGCCCCAGCGGAGCCAGTCTGCCCCACTCCCTCCCGCCCATCTCACCAGGCGCTCGATGACCGCTCGCAGCGCGCGGTGCCAGGCTCGCAGCTCTGTCTCGAGGTCTGACTGCAGCAGGAACTCGTGGCCAGGGACCGTTCGGATCTGGGGGACGGGGAGGAGGGGGCCGGCGGGGAGAAGGCTTGAGTCAGCGGGGAGGGAGGAGCATAGAAGGCAGGGAGGTCGAGCTGGAGACTCTTGCGGGAAATTGAGGGCGCACCCTTCTGTAGGATGGGGCTTTGGGGATGCCTGAGCGGGCACTCACGTGCAGGACGTTGCGGCGGCTGGACAGGTGGCGGCCGTGCGCCAGGGCCGCCCCGCGTAGGTCCACGCTGCTTTCGGGTCGAGTGCCCGCTGGTCCCTGGTAATCAGGGGAGGAAACTGAGGCAACGGTGCGGTTTCCCTCACTGTCTCCCTCTCACCGGGTGGACCGCAGCAACAAGGAAGGCTGTGCTCCTTCTTAATTCCTGACCTTCCTCTACACCTTCCTCCCCACCTTCGCCCTCACAGGTGGCCCGAGTCCCTCCGGCGCCGGGGTCCCTCCTGCGCCCGCCCTTCCCTCGCTCACACTCACCCAGGCTGAGGAGGGTGCGGCGGGGGGTGGCTCTCGGTAGAACACCAGGCTGTTGCCCGCTAACACCACCCAAGATGGGGCCCAGTTCTTCCTGCAGGGGCGGAGGGGGCAGTAGGAGGGGTGCAAAGGTCATTTAGAATCACCAGGGGAGTGCGCTCTTCCAACGCTCTGCTCTACCCAACGGATGGAGTCGGACCGCCCAGGCCCCAGAGGTATTCCCAGCTCTCCTCACCTGAGCTTGCGTCCCCCCTGAGCGATCTTAGTCACGTTGAGCTGGCCTGACTTTTCCACCTCCTGGGAAACGGAGGGAGGGGTGACAGGGTGGGGGCGGGTACCAGTAAGTCACCCACTGGCCCTTACAGACCCCGCCCAGCTCGGCTTTCCCCCGGGGTGAAGTCCTTAAAGGTTGCAGGGGAGGCTGGGTAAGCGAGGATGCCCAGGGAACACTCAGAAAGAGGAAGATCTTTCTGGAGGAGCAGGAATCAGGGCATGAGGCAAGGAGATTCTTGGCATTCACACGAAAATGGGAGGCTTACATGGGGGTCGTCCAGGACCTGCGGCAGAGGCCGCAGGGGCTGCCAGGCTGAAGGCTGGTCTGAGGGGTCAGGCTGGGAGGTGCGCCGTCGGGGGCACGGTGAACCCTGGGGCAGGGGGGTGGAGAAACAGGTGGAGGAAACGCTAACTTGGAAGTCCCTAGCTGGGGGGGGGGGGGGGAAGAGGGGTGCGGATGTGGGTGACCGGTGTGTAGTAAAGAACGTCTTGCATAAAAGAGAAAGTCGTGAAAAGATGGCTTTTCCTGCCTGTGATCTGGAGGAGGAAGGGATCTCACCTGAGGGTCGAGCATTTCTGGAGACCCTGTGTCAGATTCTGAGCCCTTTGCCTGAGGTTGGAGGACACCACTGTCCCTCTTCAAGGTCTGCGT